CAGTTTGACCTGGCTTGTTCAGCGTCCTTTATAGATTGCACGCTTCAGCGGGGCTTTTTAGCACTTTTATCTAATAGCTGATTCAATCTAGTCACCTATTCAGCTTCAGATATCAGATAAAAGTGCCAGAAAGAGCTGCTGAAGCACGCAATCTATACAGATGCTGGGTGAGCCAGGTCACACTGATGTGGTTCCTCTTCTGGGCATGTGCTGCACTTGGTGCAGAATACACTGAGCTTAAAATAATAAAGCATTGTGAGTGGTTTTTTTTTTTTTTTTTTTTTTTTTTTTTTGGTTCCCCCCACCCCCTTTTTCCCCTTCCCTCCTGCCCCCACAGCTGTGAGTAGCTAAAATGTTTTTCCCATCCCATGAGACTTCTCAAAATTTGACGTCTGTTTCATTTTGATGTGGGATAGTATGTAATATTGTTATATGGCCTAGGTTAATCTGGCTAGTCTGTCATCCTGTCCCATGCCAGCTGAGTGCCCCAGTTATGAGGGTCTTTTTCAGGAATATGTGTCTGTGGTTATGACCAGAAATTCATCCAGGCCCCAAAAACTCTGTCTTGTTGAAACCAGTATGCTTCCATGCAACATCTTTATTTTGACAAGTCAGCATTTTTCTACCAAAAAACCTTTCATCCAAAATGTCCTGATTAGCCCCATCTTAAACATAAAAGTTGATTTTGGTTTAACTTCAACTGATTATAAAACCTGATTTATTCAAACTGGTGCAGATCTTTGTATGGCCCCTCTTTATTTGGTTTAAGTTAAACCAATTGCTCTGCAATTTTAGCTACACTGAAATAATTACCTACCCAGCTTTTTTGTACCAATTTAACTACATTGGTTTAAAATTGCATCTTTAACACAACTTTGGATGTAGACCAGGTTGTAGGAAGAAAATTACTGGCTTGGTCAGCCATATAACTGAAACCTGAAATTTTAGTTCATTGGAATTCTACTGCCTGCTAATGTTCACATTAAGTTCATCCCTTATGCTTAAATTGGGCCTTCTTCCTTACTACATTAACAAAAGATTTAGACTACATTTAAATCGTTTGTGCTTTTTTTTTCTTCTTCTCAGCATCCTGCTAAACCAGAGTATCAGTCTCCCTTCCTGCAGAAAATGCAATTTGCTTTTGGCCATCCCTACTTCAGCTATACCGGGAATGTTGTAGCCCTTGCAAATATTATTTCTATCTGTGTAAGTATGGATTTTCTTTTTCTCTTATATTTCACAAGCAATATTTAAAGCTAAGTAATAACTCAGTTTTTGAGAAGGGAGTGTGCACAACATCATTCTGTTTTGGTACTTAAAACCCTTTCTTGTTTCTTTTGCATTGTGCGAGGGGAAAAACAGCCTTGATTTGATAAGGGTACAGTGTTCAGCTGCTGATTCATTAGAAGTTGCTATTTTTTCCAGGTGGTCTTGGTAATAGATGCAGATAAGCAGCCTTCTGAACGAGATGACTTCTTCTTGGGGGTAAGCTGCATCAGTGTTTCTATAAGGTTGTCTTTGCTCTTCAAAGCTTGATTGTAATGACACTTTTTTCATTCTTTACCCTTTCAAGGCTATAAACTTTTTTTTCATCCTGTATTATCTGCTGGAGATGCTACTAAAAATCATGGCAATGGGATTAAGAAGATATTTATCATATCCAAGCAATAGATTTGATGGCCTTTTGACTGGCATTCTGCTGGTAAGTCTATGGGGAAATTTCCACTCCATTCTTGGATGTGAATTTTTAGGGTGTTCTGGATCTATGGTTAATGTCATCTAGTTAAACAAAAGGCATGACATCTTTATATAATCTGTGGATGTATGGAAAAACTAACCTACAAATTGAAACTTTTTTTTTCTTCATATATGTATTTTAAACCAAGGCTGAACCATAAATAGGAGCTCTGTGGAAGTGCTTGTTGTTGTTGTTACTGATTGGCATGTAAACTTAACTTGAGCAATATTCTGGGTCCTCAATAGCTAGAACAGTTTGCTAATATACTAATACTCAAGTGATAGTCCAGAATATCCAGCTCTGAGGTGGATGCATTTCTTCCTCTCGTTTTGGAGGGAGACCGTTTTGGAATTGAAGGTAATGTCAGTTTTTGCCCAGACATGATAGTGTTGAATCTGAGACTTTATTGAACAAAAATAATTATGCGGTAGTGGGATTGTTTTTGTTTTCTGGGGTTTTTTTGTTTGTTTTTAAGGGGCTCAAATACCATTTTTAAGTACCATATAGTTTGGGTCCCTAGTTCCCTTAAATACTCTGAAAAGCTCTGAGAGCCCTGAAGGATCTTTTACTACAGTAACAGTAAGGGCCTTCTGTTTATGTTCGAAAAGTAGTTTAATGGTACCCTCAAAGTTCAGTTGCAAAATCCGTACACTTTGTAAAACTTGCTATTTCTGTCCTTCACATGCCATCAATTTAGGGATTTTTTTAAATGTGTTACAGTCCTGAAGCTGGTATGTAGCGTGCTACTAAGTCCTACACAAACAAAATTCTGCATGCAGCTTAGCTTAGCTTCACTCTGTATAAAAAAGGTGAAACTCTCACTGCTGGTTTTGAGTGGTGAGACAGGATTAACTCTGAGGTCTGATAGCGGAGAAATGACAATTATATGGTTTTGTAGCGAGCCAAATTAGTGGCTTAGAACTCTCAACAGTGACCTTTTGCAAGGAGCTTGAAGACAAATTATTGATATTAAAATAAAGTACAGTTATGTTTCTTTTCTTTTGCAACTGAAGGTTTTGGAGATCTCGACTTTTGCTGTATATGGATTTCCTCATCCTGGATGGTATGTGTTCTTCGAGTAGTTACAAGTACTCCAAAACTGGTGTAAATATGCAAAGTAGAACTTGAATTCCATAGAAAATTTCCATGGTAATAAGGTAATGGCCCAACCTCTGGGTATAACTAGCTTCATCTGTTTGTATTTTTAAGGTAGGATAGACATTAGGCCAGTGATTCTCAGCCAGGGTGCTGTTGTACCCTGGGGTATGTCACTTGAGAGACTTTCAAGGGTGCCACACAACGTTAATGCTGTTAAGTGTGCGGACAGAGTTCACAAGATTAATCGAGCGATTTCACATAGGAATCCATAGTGTCAAAAACATGCTGACCTGTATGTAGGCTTTCTGAGTTCTTGGCAACAGAAATATGCTGTATTATTTTTCTGTAGGTATAAAAAGTGAAAACTTACCTGGCATTTTTGAGGCATCCCTCAGAAGTCTAAAAATATTGAACCACTGCATTGGGCATTTGACACCTTAGCTGTCTGCCCTAACTTGCCAAAGCTACTAAGAACTCTACAGGGTTGGGTGTTATAGCCAGGTTGGTTGAAGCACATAGGCAGACAAGGTTCTTTGGGTAAATGTGATATCTTTTATTAAACCAACTAAATAGTTGGAAAAATTGTTCTTTGCAAGCTTTTGGGCACAAACACCCTTCTTCAGGCATAGGGAGAGTCTCCAGCGGATTCTCCCTATGACTGAAGAAGGGCATTTCTGCCCAAAAACTTGCAAAGAACAATTTTTCCAACTATTTATTTGGTCTAATAAAAGATATCACATTTACCCCAAGAGCCTTGTCTGCCTAAGAACACTACAGTAATTCACTTTTGCAGTCACTAGGGGTCAGGCAATGCAGGGAATTGAAAGAACTGTTTAGTTAGGTCCTATGGCAGAATTCTGAAGAGGTATTGTGTTGGTTTGAGAGACAGGTGTCTATGTGTCACGTGAAATCTAAATTACACTAGTGACAGAGCAGAGCAGCTGCTTCCTCTTTGGTCCACTTCCAAAAAATAACTGAAGCTCAATGTATTGTATCACAAGGTAAACTGGTGCTAATCCTATGCTGTTTCAGAACAGACTACAGTAAAGCTAACTGTATAGTGTCTGATCATGTTTTTCACTGTAGATTTGAAGTATGTGTTTTCTTTTGTGCTGTAGCTATAAGTTGAAGTAGAGGAGAATATCTGTCCTTTTTTTGTAATTACCTTTCCTTTAAAAAAGCATGCGGGGGAGTGGGGAATAATCAAGGAGTGGGTTTGCATCTCACCCCTTTATATGAATTGAAGCTATTCCATAATACTTCCTTGGGTTA